GTTACTGTACAATTTTACTCATCCAGGATTAGTCTAATAATTAAGTGAAGGAATAATGTAGAGATAGAATTGAAGTGGAATCAAAGTGACTGAAGCAATATTATGAAACAATACTATCAGTATAGGGTGGGGGGAAGGGTCAATGCTGCTGTTAGTTGTAGTCAAGATAATTGATTCAGTGGGTTGCATCACTTAAGTTTGAAGACTGATTACCGCCTGTGGGGCTCCAGGTGATAGATATCTTAAGCCATGGATCATTCCAGATCCCGAAGTGACATTTATTCCTAGAGCGAAAGAAGATGAATGCCTCATTCTTGCTAGTGATGGTTTGTGGGATGTGATGTCAAATGAAGAGGCATGTGATTTGGCACGAAAACGTATACTTCTCTGGCACAAAAAGAACAGTGTTAGCCTTCCCTCAGAAAGGGATAAAGGCAATGAAATGGATCCTGCTGCTCAAGCTGCTGCTGAGTACCTATCAAATCGAGCTCTCCAGAAGGGAAGTAAAGATAACATTACCGTGATTGTGGTGGACTTGAAAGCTCAAAGGAAATTCAAGAACAGAACATGATCTTCTCTAGCCTTTCTAGCTAATTCTTGTACTATACGCTGTGATCTGATATTAGTATTTGCCCATTTGTTTTTCCCATGGGCTTATTCATGCCTGTATGTATTTTTTAGAGAGTAAAGAACTGCTGCAACTTTGCAAGAAGTTGTTATTGATTCAAGTGATTACAGCATTGCCAACTTGTAGCCATGTACATCTTTAGCTGCCTGTTGTAGGGGATAGGGGATAGTTCAAAGCTCCGTGCTTTTATTGTATTTCTTCTTTCCCGAGTAAAAACACTCTGGGGAGTCTGCATTTGCTTCTGTATTGTTTAAACTGCCTAGTGCTTATAAGAGAATATAATAATTTTCTTCTACATGTACAAAGTTTTTTAGCTTTGAGGATTTTCCCATTTAATTTTTTGAACAAATGATGAAGTATGCATACAATTTTTCATTTTTATTATGTTTTATAGTTTGGTTTTGTCAAATATTTCGTTGATATTCTGAATGTGCATGTGTACTCTCGAACACGCTTCGAATTTGTGGTAAGAGATATAATCTCACATCATCGCCAATAAAGGATGTTTGGTAATTTCAGATATTTGTTAAAACATATTTTTTTCTAGCATTGTAGACAAGAAATTGATATGTAATAAAATACAGATTCCTATATTTACTGATAAAAAATATAATCTTAAACTTATATTAATTTTTAATCAATCATGATTACAATTGTATTTGAGATTCTATACTATCACTAAGCTAAAGATGGCTGAGGCTTTTGCCAACTAAATTAAGATATCTTTGTCCCCACAATAATATATATTTGAAATAAATTTATAATTTATGTAAAATTTATTTATAAATTCATATGGGAATATATTTTTTATTAGGAAGTGTTAAAAAAATTGTACTGATGGAATTTTCACATAGAACTAAAGCAATGTTTTCAAAATTTTTTCTATTTTGATAGAAATTTTTTAATTCCATGCGAGTTTAATTTTTATCATCTTATATAATAGATTTATTACTTTTTAAGTTAAAATAATTGTAGATTTGTATATGAAATTCACAAACAAATGGGCAAATACTATATCAGATCACAATGTATTGTACAAAATTAGCTAGAAAAGGCTGGAGAAGGATCATGTTTCTATTTTTCGGACTTCCTTTGAGCTTTCGAATCCACCTAGATCACGGTAGTGTTGTCTTTGCTTCCCTTCTGGAGAGCTTGATCTGATAGACACTCAGTGCAGTTTGAGCAGCAGGATCCATTTCATTTCCTTTATCCATTTCTGAGGGAAGGTTAACACTGTTCTTTTCATGCCAGAAAAGTATACGCTTTCGTGCCAGATCACATGCCTCTTCATTTGACATGACATCCCACAGACCATCACTAGCACGAACGATGCATTCATCTTCTTTCGCTCTAGGAATAAACGTCACTTCTCATTCTGGAATGATTCATGGCTTACATCTATCACCTGCAGCCCCACAGGTGGGAATCAGTCTTCAATCTTAAGTGATGCAACCCACTGAATCAATTATCTTGACTACAACTAACAGCAGCATGGATCCTTCCTTCCCACCACTATATTGATACTATTGTTTCATAATACTGCTTCAGTCACTTTAGTTCAACTACAATTCTTTTTCTACTTTATTCCTTCTCTTGATTATTAAACTAATCTTGATGAATAAAATTGTACAGTAACTTTTCATTTTTAAACCTTCCCGCTCTGATCTTCAAGTTTTTAGGCACCACTCTCTATTTCCAGTAAGAATTGAAAATTCATTCATGAACATTCAAAACAAAACTGACTCGAGCATAAAACCTTTGAGGCAATTTTCCGTATCAAGATCAATGACTAAGAAAATAAAGTAGGCACAGCATAGGAATCAGACCAAACAAACTGTTAGTGAATTCACAAAAGTGTGTATGAGAAAACCTATGAAGGAAAAAGCAAAAAAATGCAATTGATGCCTACGTACCAACGAGATTGCCTAGTGTTAAATGTTGCACAAATGCAAATTACTGGTGCAAAATGAAGGCAACATCAATAAAATTATGAAAAACAAGAACAGGTGTAATTAATACAACGGCAGAAGTACCACCAAAGGCAAAAGCAGGAAGGATTCATTTGATTACCAATTAAAAGCAACATTAATCCAGCAGCGATAACAATCCGTGAAGAGTCACCTGACTTTCTACGTTAAGTTCGACCCTAAACATCTCTCATGCACAACACAGTGGGTATAGTTTTCACAACTAAAAGAAGAGTGAAACTGACACCATTGTGGACTATTTAGAGGCAACCATCAGCAAAATCACGGAGATTACTACGAACTTCTTTTCCATATACAGCTATTTGATCAAAAACTCCAACATGAAACACCTGCCATAGTTAAGATATTGCAAATATGGAAAGTAGAAAATCAACATCCAGATGGGAAAAAGTGGAATCTTGTCAAACACATACCAATAGATTTTGACACTACTATAACTCCAAGGTGCTTGTTCAACTGAAATAACTCTTCCTTCAGCAGCTTCAATTCTTGCATATTCATCTTCTTGATTTGGCTGATACAATAACAGAAAACAAAATGAGAATAGTTACTCAGCTGATTATAAACTACAAAAGAGTGCAAGAGTAATTGATGAAGTCTATTTACTTTATAATCCATAGATAGTGCCATTGGTTCTTTCCCACGAAATAGAACTGCTCCTGAGTCTCAACAGTTTGCCACAATAATAGAGGAAGAGCATACAATTGTAACAACAGCAGTAGAACCACCAGTTTCTGGGGCAAGGGGTTCAAGATTATCTGTCCCTCCAACTTCAGCATCTAACTTAACAAAAAAGTTTAGTAAATAATGCCCTTCTCCACTGCTCTTGGCAACTATCCTTAATACTTCCATCACTCGGGCATTCCTTAACAGACTCCATTTCCTCCGCCAAAGCACAGTGGACACGATCACGACAGTAGTTTGCAACCTGAACTAACGTGATCAATAAAAAGGACCCTCATGCATGAAATTTGGCGGAGGAAAACACATACACAAGAAGCACAAAGAAAAAGGAAAACGGTACCTGCGAACCTCCATGCCCATCATAAACACCAAAGAAATAAGCAGTTTGGTCCGCGTAACAATTTCCTGTGCCATCTAATAACAAATCGTCAATAAGCATTTGAATGGTAATTTTCATAAACTGAGGTACTGCTGCAACTGCATCTTCCATCTCTGGTCTTCTTCCACATACGGATGTAAATCCCCACAGGGGACTATATTCCACCTCAAATACACTTCGTCCAACCGTTCCACTTGAAGCCAATTGAAGAGCAACTGCAGATGGCTTGGGTTTGGATCCATCTCCAATTCCCTCAAGGTCTATTGCCATAGAAAGAGGATCAGTCACATTCCCCTGACCGATATTCGACTCATGAAAATCACTGTTGTTAGCAGTAATAACTAAACTGGAAATGGTCTTCTCATTCTCTACAGCATTAGCTATTCCTAAATCAGAAGCTGCATCGAGAAGCAATAAATCCTCCCCGCATAAGCTGCTAGTTTCACTTGCCACTGAATGTGAACAAGAACTATCAAGAATCTGATCACCCTCCAATATTAAAGAATCATCCTCCTCACTTTCTTTTATCAAATCATCGGTGTCAACCCAAGTGCCTTTATCTTCCAATACTATATCCAACAGAGGAGCACCAATCTTAGGGGTCTCTTCTTGCACAGGCACCACTAATGCACTAACTTCACTCTCCAAGTTATTACAATCACAATCTTCATCTTCACCAGAAGTAGACTGAGCAGAAACCTTAGATGACAAACCAGCTGTATCCCCCATGAGCTTCAGTCCGGTGAAACCAATACGAATAGCTAAACCGGGGTTATCACAGACTGCAAATACCTACTTGAAATGGCACTCCAACCGCCGGAGACATATCCTCCATCAACTATACAGCTAAGAGAAATGGAAAAGCAGAAAATATACTTAAAATCTACAAAAAAAAAAAAAAGAAAGGAAAGTCAAATAGAGGTTGGAGCAAAAGCCTTACCTCTAGACACAAGAAAGAAGGAGAAAGAAAGGGTCATGTGAAAGAACCCCAAGAAAGGTGATGTTCCAAGAATCAAAGGAAAACCCGAAAAAAGGCATTACCTTTTTGCACATATTACCTGAGTTCCCCGCGTCTGGGGCAATCCTTCTCAGCCTCTTGCAGTTTTTTTTTTTTTTCTCTCATAAATATTAAGAGCCAGAAAACGATCAAGAAAAGTAAAAGCAAGTAAAAAGAAGAAAAATGAAAAACATCGCAGCAGCCTAATATGATAAATTAAAAGTACTTGTCTTCTTGATAACGAAGTCAAGTATAAGGAGGCTGTAGCGTGCTCATAATAATTAATTTAGTTTAGTGAGTTAATACTTTACTTTATTAGTATATTAATAAAATTATAATCATTAAATTAAATTTTTTTAATGATAAACCTGATAAAATAAATATTTCTAATTACAGCATGTCAAAAATTTTGTTTTAATTTTAAATTATTTGCTATAAATAAAAATATTTATAATATTAATTTTTTTAAAAAAAACCCCATATATTTTCTAATAAAAAAATCTTATAAATATAACAAGATAACGTTTTAAATTCTATTTATACATTAAAAAAGCATCATCTTATGATAATTTAGTATTGTAAAATAGATTTAATTTATTTCAAACATTTTTGCTTCTTTATTTTATTCTAAAATAATTTTTAGAAAATAATAAATTTCTAAATTTAGTAATTCAATGCAAACTTCTAATTACATTTTAAAAAATTATGGAATCATTAATTTCATCTTGTGTTTGCCTCCAATTTACCTATATACACTTTTTAAATGTGAATGTAGTTTTAAAAATCATTAACACGATTTTTAAGTAAATTTTCATCAAAATAATGTCTTAATATTTAGATTGTATTATTTTGTGAGAAAATTCTAAAAAGATCATAGTGTTTCTTTCTCCTATTAACTCCTACTTTTTTGAATCATGCAAAAATATTTACTATACATGAGCCAAGTCGAGCACGTGTGTGACTGATATTAATAAATTGACATATTCAAGAAGCATATGACCTATCTTCTATAAAAAAAAATGTCATTAATATTTTTAAAAAATAATGATACATGTATAATTTATTTGAAAG